CCCCAGACAAGTCTGCCAACGTACAGACGAGTTCCCCGGCTCCCCTCAGAGCCTGGGGCAGGTCTCTCGCTGCTTTTACCTGCGGTGGTCAAACGGAAAGACCACAAAACTTAGGAAAGCGGCGTCTCCCTCAGCTGCCTGGCTGGCTCGGGTACCAGTGACCCTTGGCATGGAGCTGCCACCAGTCCTGGAGCGGCCCCTTTGGCTCCCCGGGTGGCAATCGCAGCGTCCTGAGGCTCTGACCGATGCAAGAGCACAGTGCCGGGATGGCCACAAAGGATGGGTGTTGCTTGTCGACAGATCTCGTCATGCCAGCAGTGATTCCCGCCAGCCGAGGGGTCACCTTTGTTTCTTTCACAAAATAAACGGCGGGGCTCTGCTCGCTATGTCTCGTCACGTAACTCGCTGTAGCCGTTTAGGTTTTGAAGGCCCTACAGAGCACGCCAGCGTCAAGGCGAGGGAGGTGAGAGAGCAGCGTGGGCTACAGCGCTTGAAAGGTACCCGGGGTAAAAACCCTGCGGAGGAGTTCTGCTTGTGTAGGAAAACGACGACCGTCGTGAGCTGGGAAGTGGAGCGGAGCTGCCGAAGCGGCGTCCGCTCGCCCTCGGAAGCAGTCCGAGAGTGAACTGGTGAGAGGGCGTTCACTGAGTGGCGCTCGTCCTCTGTGCTTTTAGGACACTACACCCGATGAACTGCTGTCTGCCGTGATGACAGCCGTCCTTCAGGATGTCAATCTTCGTCCCGAGGCCCTGGGAGACATTTGTGTGGGTGAGCGAACAACCTCTGTCCACGCCTGAAGCTCCTGATCTGGATAGCTCTCTGGGACAGTCTCCTCCCGGTGTCCCGTGGGATACTTGCAAGTACGGTGGGGTGGGAAGGGGTTAGCGCGTAGCGTCAGGTTTACGAAGCCCGTGCGTCCTTCGTCACCGCTCTGCCAAGCGGTGGGGCCCTGATCTGGGTGCTGGAGGCTGCCGGGCCGCGGGGATGACCCCTTCAATGCCCCCAGCACGTAGCGAGGGCAATGCAACCGATATTGACTGGAACTGTATCTTTGCACCCAGGAAACGTGCTGCAGCCTGGAGCTGGGGCTTTGATGGCAAGAGTCGCTCAGTTCCTAAGGTAAACTCTCCACCAAGGTTCCTCCTCCCCTTCTCAGGCCTTGGCTGCGGAGCAGCGCTGGGTCAGAGGTTGCGGTGAGGCTCGTGTGCTCCTGGGAGGTTACGGCCGGTCACCTTCTGCCTAGAAATTAGACTGATGGTGCGTTTGGAGAGCTGTGACAGGGTTTGGAGAACCCTGCTGGCGAGGGGCAGGGGTGAGGCAGATTAATTTGGGCTGCCAGCGTTGGGCCTCTGAAGGGGAGATGTTGTTTTGTGGGCTCCCAGCTGCACCCGCCGCTCTGGACTGCGGGGCGGTGCTTCCCTCTGCTCTGCGTGGGCCTGAAACCGTGGAGCTGTCGTGGGTCTTTCTGTCCGTTTCCCGGTGTCGGTGGTCGGTGGCTCGTGTTGAGCTGGATCCCAGCTTCCAAATGGTTTAGCTGGTGTCTGTTGCCAAGCGGTGTTGGCCGCTGTAAATCAGTGTACTCACTGTGGAGAGGTGCAGGCGCGGCCCAGCAGCAATTAGGAATATTGCAGAGATTTTTGGTGTTTCTGGCCCCAATCAGAGCTCGGGAACCGGCCACATGAGAGGGCCCTGCTTGGAGAGGGCCTTCGGAAGACAGACCTGTGGGGGAACGGCACTTGGAGCCGCTTGCTAATCAAGTGTGGAAATTTATCGATGAACTTTGCTTTCTCTTGGTGCAGGACCAAGTAGGTCAATGAAACTATGAAGGGATCCATCTTGAACGTGAGGGTTAAAGTTTAATCAGGTGGCTTAGTGCTCTCTTCAGAGGGTCGGTTTGTTGTGCGGTTCTTGTCACCGAGTCTTTGCCAACACTGTCGTCTTTTCTAGTGGTATTCCAGAGACGGTGCCGTGCTCGAGCGTGAACCGGCAGTGCTCCTCTGGGCTGCAGGCCATCATCAATATAGCTGGTAAGTGTCATGGGCGCTCAGGTCAGAGTCAGGGCCCGCTCCACCGCGAGTGCTCGTTTCTCCTGTCCTCCAATCTCTCTGAGCAGTAAAAATAGCGATAATGTACTTCTGCTGTTAGGAATTGTTGGTGTGGTGTTGGTTGAATGCTTTTATATCCTTGAGTGGCCGGGTCTACCCCTGGAGAAGTGACTTGGTTTTCTAAGGATGAGTTCTACCATCACTTCCACAGCAGGCAGCTTCCGGAAGGGTCCCTCCCGTCCTCTCTGGTTGCGCTCAGGTCCTGGTTAGTCTCGAGGCCCATCAGCTCCGTGACCTGGCTCACGTTCTGGCAGGCGGTAGGGCGGAGGGGATGCCCCGTTGGGCTGTCGTGGGTGCTCGAGCGTTCGTGAAAGGCAGCTGGAGTGGAAGTGCTTTTGCTCCCAGTGACGGTGTTTATGCGCTGCTGTTACAGGTGGCATCCGAAACGGAGCGTATGACATTGGCTTGGCCTGTGGGTAAGAATGTCTTTTTATGGTATTTGCTGAGGCTTCCCGAAGGCAGCGCTGTGTCCCTCTGCCATAGCTCTTGTGTGAGCGATTAGAAACCCCTTCCAGCCAGATTTGTCCTCCCCCAAAGGAAATAGGTGCCATCCTCATTTGACAACTGGGTGAATAACCTCTCAAATTAGGACGTGAATTTAAGCGGTGGCTGCAGATGCACCTTGTGTCTTTCCAGAGGCTGCTGAGTACTTTTGCAGAAGATCGAGTCACCTTAAAGGGTCTGAGGGAGGGCGCTTGAAAATCCTTTAATTCCCCTGGAAGTTTTTGGTCTTGGTGACGTGTCTGCTGGGGCTGCAGGAAGAGGCAGAGTGTCTCTTACAGGCGTGCAAAAAGCCTGTTTTATTCGGATACCTCTGGCCCTGCTGTAGGACACTACTTGTGTGCAAAGCCCTGACAGTCTGAAAGAGCCTACCATAATTAGCTTTTTAACTGATCTCCCATCAACTAGTGTCTTAGAAGACCAGCAGCTGTCTTGGATAGAGAAATTAATGTCCTACCCATGCTAACAGCTGTTGTACAGACTGACAGGGGATGTTCTTCTGCAGCGAACAGGCATGCTGTTCTTCGCTTTAGTCCCAACGTTGTAAGAAGTGTTTATTTTTCAGAGGATTATGTAAATATTAGGTTGGCTTTGGAGAATTACTAGTGACCACGTACCCGTTGACTTCAGAAGAATGAATAAAACCCAGGAAGTATTCAGTAATCCTGAGGCTAAAGTACTGGGCTTCTCTTTTTCTTTACCTTGGTAACTCTTAAGTCGTTCTTGAATTACTACTGCGCGCAGTCATCCGGTAGTCCTTAGGGAAATGGTTATGTGTACGACTTCTCAACACCTGCACGGACCTGGTGGAGCAGGATCTGATGTTGAGAACACCCTTCCCTTCTTCCACTGCTGCGAAATAAACAGCTGAGCCAGGCGGGCACGTTCCTCTGGTGTGGGCTTGTCTCGAACACGTGATGCTTTTCACTCGTTCGCTCTAACACACTTGTTCCAGCCAGTTGCTTGGCAGCGTCCACCGAAATGATACACTTAAAGATCCCGAGAGGCTCGAAGGGTTTGGGATCCAGCCTTTGGGTGTGCAAGCCGCTGGGTTCCACTGTGGGAGGTTCCCTGGCCTCTCCCCTGCAGGGTCCTCCGTGAAGACATGAAGTCCCTAAGTTACAAGTGGCTTTTGTGAGTTGGGTTTATCCCAAGTCATGCTCTTGCCCTGAGCGGACTCGCCCACTCTGTAGGTGGAGGGATACTGGGTGACCACAGAGAACGCAGTGGTTTGCTCTTACTGAAAACCTGGTTCTGTACCTTCCTTCAGCTGCAGTCGAGTAAGGCAGCGTCCCATGTTACAGTTCGTTTGAATTCCTGACAGCACTTAGTATAAGCTGCTTGGGGAAAAAAAACTTATATGTATTTGCGTTTTCCAGGAGCAGTTTCTGTGTTATTTGCTCTTCATGGGGGTATTTGTGTGGTGCGGAGTGGCGTTCAAACCCTCTTCCCGTTGTAGGCTTCATGGTCTAGACTGACTTTACAAAAGCTCACCAGTCTTAGGTGGTGGCTGTGTATTTCTGCAGTAAACTTGGATATCCTCCATCTGTTAACTCATTTGTAGGTCAAAGACTGCAGCCTCTGGGATCCACGTCCTAAATTCTTTGTGTTGTGAAATATAAATGGCATAACTCACTGAAGTCTCCTTGCTTAACGCTTGTATCATACTGCCAACCGGTTCTTAAGCTGTAACTGGCATTTTTTTGGCTGTTGACAATCTCACTGGCAACTCTGGTCCTAGAACCTTAGGTTTCTCTTTAGGTTTGAGGACAAAAGTGCCAGAACCGTTAGCAATTCCTTCCTGGCTGTGGAAACATGGTAAATTAACTGTGTTGATGTTGGTATCCTGGTCTTAGTGAAAGAAGGGCCAGTTTATCTGGCCATCTGTTTTCATTTCGTGATAATTCTTGTATTGATGATCGAAAAGCTTCTGCCTCAGCCAGTTCTTAATCGCTAGCTGTGTTTCTCCAGGATAATAGGAAAGCTTGTTGTCAAGATGCTGAGTTTTGATCAGTCTTAACGGAGCAGCTACCACAAACGTGGTATGAAATTGCACTGGTAGCAATTTCGCGTTTTTCTTGTGTTCAGCGTGGAAACGATGTCCCTCAGAAGTGCAAATAACCCTGGTGACATCAGTTCCAGCGTGATGGAAAACAGCAAAGCTCGAGATTGCATTATTCCTATGGGGTAAGTGTTTCCTCTTCCCAAAGCTTGAGGGCTGCCTCGATGGCCCGTCTCCTCCGTGACCATTTCAAATGAACGTGAACGCGGTGAGCTTGGACCTGTGTGTGTCGGCATCCTCCTGGGTTGGGGTAGAAGATTAATTGTGTGAAATGGGGGAAGATCAGTGACTCTGAAAGATTTCCTTGTCTCATATTTTCAGCTTAGTGGCTTAATGAGCAAGGAAATGGATTTGAACCCTGTTCTAGTCCTAGATTTGATTCCGGATTTGCTTCTGCCAAGCAGCTCTAGGTTGAGAAGGCAGCAGCTGGCTTTGAGACTGAGGCCCATGCTTGTACTTCGTGTTGTCTTAGTAGAAAGCTCCATTAGGTGTGTTGCTGGATTAACTCTGTGATGTTGTTTTCCCCAGAATAACCTCAGAAAACGTGGCAGAGAAGTTTGGAGTTTCCCGAAAGAAGCAAGATGCCTTTGCCTTGGCTTCCCAACAAAAGTAAATGTTTGGTTGTGGGTTTTTTTTTAACCTTTCAGTTGAGGAATAAATAGATAGAAAATGCGTTGCTGCTTCCCAAGGGAAGTGCTGTCTTCGTGTTGCCTCCCAAGCCTTAACAGTGAGGAAAGAAGCTCGGGACACTCAGAGTGAAGACAGTGCGTGCCCGGGGTTGTGTGGTACGGAAACGCGAGCCCAGAGCCATACCAGGGGGTGCGTGACTCTTCTGCGCCTGCATCACTGGGCTCATGCGAGCCTTGAGCAGTGGGTGCCCCTGTGGTTTTTGGCATCCAACAGGCAGAGCCTCCGTGGGGTCTCTGAGGCGAACACACGGTGCAGGATTTTCGTAGCAGCTTTGGCTCAGTATCATCTGACGCCGAACATGGGAGCGGCAGCAGGAGGAACCTTTCCCAAGAGAGGGAATGTTTAAATGTAGCTGTTCCTAGAGAACTGCTGAGCTTAGAAGAGTGGCTTGTCTTCGCTGCAGGTGTTTGGCTCCCAGTGAGTCCAATCCTACCTCTCATAACCTTCCTCTTGGGATAAACCACTGCCGAAGTCAGCAGATCCCCGGAATCCAGGGGGCTGTGCTGGCAGTCCAGGGGCAGGTGATTCAAGGCGCTGCCAACGAAGAGTTAAACCCACTCCGAGCCCTCTTTAAGCATCCCTGGTCCGGTTATTTATCTCGTACAGGAAGCCGCTGCACAGACCTGTTAAGCTTAAAGTTCTGGCCCCGCTTCTCGGGGAACGCGGCGTGCCGGCCGCGCTCGCTGACGCGGGTACAGAGGAGCCTGTGAGCGCGATCCTCGCGTGAGGAAAGGGGCGATTTGCTGGGCTCGGTCCTGGGATGTCGGTGGAGTTGCTGATCTGCCCTTCAGCTCTTCGCTCTTAACTCTTGCTTCCCTGGGAGTATTAAGTATTTCCCTTTTATTAGTGAAAGTAAAGCCATGAGGGGTAAAACAAGCTGTCAGTCTGCAATTCGTCTTCCCTGTAAAGGGCGCTCTGTTGCTGGAGAGTAAATCTAAATCGGCTCTGCTGTGGAGGTTTCTGAAGTACCTTGTTGATAGGAAAGGCTAAAAGGGTGTGCCCTGAGCTGATTCTAATTTAGCTAATTGCATTCTGCCTGCTCGTATCAGTCTGGTGATGTCAGTTGTTCCCTACTGCTAGTGCTGCTGTCTTGGGGACCAGACCCGACCTTCGCTGCACCTTTGCTGCTAAATTAAGGGATGCCCTTCTCCAGAGTCACACTGGACCGTGCAACAGTCATTTGGGGTTGAAAGGCTACGTTTAAGTGCCGGAAGATTATACCTGAAGTCTGTGGTCTAAAGCACAACTTGTCTGTAGTAGGGCAAAACCAGGAAGGAGCGGAACTTCAGCCATTCCACATTTGTCAGAAATTACTAGCGTTATGTGGAGGCTTAGCCCCCTCACCCTGTTTAAACTCTCAGAAATAAGGATTGATGTTTGAACATCAGGATTCATTTCTTTCCTTACGCTTGTGATGTGACTGTTCCGCTGGGCAGGTATGACGTCGTGCCTTGGGCTAGTGGTGGTCAGTCAGTCACAAGGGTGTTGATGGGAACAGAACGGGGGGTCTTGTGACCGTGTGGCCCGGGTTTGGGGAGAATGCCCTTAATGTTAGCACACATAGAGATGTATTTCCTGTGACGTAGAGGTAAGAAGTTTGTCTTCCCATGAATGGAAGTATTTGCCTGACTTCCTATCCAGTATTCAGCGATGATGGACCTGTCACACCGCGGTTCATTCTCTTACTGCGTGGTTTCCTTGAAGTTAGTGCTCTTGCAGTTCACCTCCAGAATAGTTTAACCTTCCGTACTCTTCTTTAACAGAGCAGCAAAAGCTCAGCAGATGGGACTGTTTAAACCCGAGATTGTTCCAGTGAAGACCACTGTTCTAGACAATCAGGGCAACAAAAAAACAATCACGGTGCACCAGGATGAAGGGATCAGGCCCTCCACGACCCTGGAAGGCTTGGCAAAGCTGAAGCCTGCCTTCAAAGAGGATGGTAGCACCACAGCAGGTCAGCTCTGTTGCTAAATTTGTGTTGCTCCTGTGGTTTACCTGCCCTGTAACGGAACGTGCCGAGGCAAAAACGGTGTTAACATCTCTCTTCCAACAGGCAACGCCAGCCAGGTCAGTGATGGAGCAGCCGCTGTTCTCCTGGCAAAACGCTCCAAAGCGGCGCAACTGGGGCTCCCAGTCCTGGGGGTGCTCAGGTCCTTCGCTGTGGTTGGAGTCCCGCCCGATGTTATGGGCATAGGACCAGCCTACGCAATCCCCGTAGCTCTGGAGAAGGCGGGTAAGAACCGCAGGGCGTTCGTACGGCGCTCGGCACACGGCGAGTCAGACTCGGTGGGCTGACGTTTAAGGTTGTATTATTCTCGTGTGTGCAGCTCTCAGCTGTAGAAGCAGTGAACTTGAATTCAAAACCTTGCAAGAGACCCCAGCTGGGATTACTGTACCACTTGTACTCGCGTATAAACTGTCATTCACTCACCTTTGAGAAGCTCAGGATTAAATCCCTGCACGGGCTCAACATCAGTTAACGTGTGGCAAGTGGTGTAGTGTTCAGTAGTGCTGTTTTCTCTTCGTTAGTATGACCAGCGTGTGGGGGGGTGGGTTTTGTGGTTGGTTTGGGTTTTTTTTTTTACAATTTTGGTATCTGACCAGTGGAACGGGCTTTCCTCAGGGTTGTACCATATTCATCAGGTTAAGTAGCTTGTATGGCTGATGACTGTTGTTGTGTCCGCCTGCCACTGCTCAGCTGTAGTTTTATTTTTCAGTCTTGACATACCCTTCAATCTTTAATCCTTCTGCAAGGAAATCACATTTCATCTAAGGAAACTTGGTAAACTCCGGCACAATACCACGAATGGTTTTGGAGTCTTCCACACATGGTTGTACATAAACATGTGTACAAGTGCAGATACCCCCCCAGGGAGCCAAGGTCCCCTTCTTTTTGTCATTAGGAGAGTAGAACTAGAATTCATAAAGGGAGGCTGTGAGTGAATTATTCTCTTTGATGTAGTCATAAGGCAAAAATACCTTCTTTTAAATCCTGACTTCTGTGAACCGTAGGTCTGACTCTGAATGACATCGATATATACGAAATCAATGAGGCCTTTGCGAGCCAGGTGAGTGATCGTCCTGTTTGAGTTGCGACTTTGCTTGGTAGCTGAGTATGTTTCAGCTTGGTCTCCAAATTAAGGTTTGAACTCATTCCACTTACTACATCTTCAGCCAACTGTTCATAACATGCACAGACCATTTTCCGTTTCCTTCAAATAAAAATAAGGAGGATTTTGCTTATACAGCTTCGTATTTAAAAAAAAAAACCCAAAACCAACCAAACCCAACCAGATAAATGGGTCCACTGAATAAGACTGTAACCTTTACTGTCGTATCCCCATACCAACTTGCAAAATCTGTTTCACAAGGGCTGTCGTTTGTCACGAGGTGGTGTCGCTGTGAGCGTGGCGCTCCCTCATTTGGAGGTCCTTAGCGACAGGCAGAAGCTGCGCTACTGCGTCTTCCGCAGACCTGGGACGTGCCGGTCAGCGCGTGGGCTCAGTCCGAGATGCGGCTGATGGGCTTGGCTCGCTTCTGCGTGCCTGGGGTTTGTAACGTAGTTCCCCTCCTTTCCACGGGGAAAGGTGGTCTGGCTGGAGTCAGGCCTCTAAGTACGAACTGTTTAAGCTTTTGGAGCAGCTGACATGATGATGTGGAGTTTGTGTAATTACAGACGTAGTTTGAGGCAAATTAATTAAAAGCACAAACCTTTTGAGACCCCTAAAGCTGCCTAGGGTGGTTTCCTGTCCCTCTTTATGTACAGAGATCACCAGTCTTCTCTGCAGTCCTCTTCGCTCTGTGTTGCAGGAGAGCTGACAACTAACGGAGGCGAGAGCATCTCCCTGTGAAACCATTCCCTCTGTCTTTCTAGGCTGTGTACTGTGTTGAAAAGCTGGGCATTCCCATGGAGAAGGTCAACCCCCTGGGAGGAGCAATAGCACTGGGGCACCCACTGGGCTGTACTGGCGCTCGTCAAGTTGTCACTTTGCTCAATGAACTGAAGCGCAGAGGGAAAAGGTGAGCACCGAGGAACGGTATTGGCCTCAGCGCCTTGCGTGTGAGTGCGCACGTAGGCTCAGCAGTAACCGTGGGCTTGGGTTGAGCTCTCTCCATCCTGTTGATAGCTTTGAGCAGGAATTCAGGGAGAGCTGTGTAATGTCCTGCTGCCTGTGAACACGGAGTCTCTCCCGGTCCCTCGGTGGGGCCGGGCCCTGGGGCAGACGTCTCGGCTGCGCGGTGTGAGAGTAGCCGGCCTGCGGTCAGAGCTGGTGGCTCTGCAAGACTGGGCTGCATCGGGCTTTGACAGCCTGGTCCCAGCCCTCGGGCTCTTCCCGAGGCGTGAAGAAACGCGGTAGCTGCTGCTGGCTGGCTGGCTCAGCGCGCCCGTGGGTGCGGTGTCGCTGGGCTGCACTGTCGGGTGAGCTGTGCCCGGGCCTAGAGGGAGGGTAACAGTGATGGCGGGTTCTTAAACGCCAAGCACATCAGGCAGTGACGATAAACCACCTCAAACCGAAGCGGAAGAACCTGCTCTGACATCAGACGTTCCTCTCCTGTTTTTCCACGAGCCCTCCCGCGCGTCGTCTGACCATCCAAATGCCCCTCGAGCTCTGCCGTGGCCAAGCCGTGTGACGGGCAGCAGCAGGAGGCAGGCAAGGGAGAGTTTCTCCCTCAGCCCACCTGAACCGAAGCAATTCTTTTAGCTCCACCTCGCTGCCGGTATGTCTGAGGCAGATGGCGGAGGAGCTCAATTCTGACTTGCTGCTCCTGTCAGAAATGTGTGTGTCCGTGTGCTCTGCAAACACCCTGCAAGAGCCCCGGGGCACCAGGACCTGCTCCAGAGGTAGAATCTTCTGGTGACGCAGGAGAGCAGGGGCTGGCTCAGAGCTGTTGTGTTCTTTTTTTTCTGCAGATGATCTAAACCTGAGCTGTGTTAATTCCCTGTGTTCTTTCGTTGCAGAGCGTACGGTGTTGTGTCCATGTGCATTGGCACCGGCATGGGGGCTGCCGCAGTATTTGAGTACCCGGGGAACTAAACTCCCGTCTACTGACGAAACAACACAACAGCTCATTCCCTGCCTTCTCTCCGAATAGCAAATGAATTGCACTGGGAAATCAAGTGGATTCAGGGATTCGTTTCTAGATCTACAAATTTTAGGCACAAATTGCGAAGTAGAATAAATGGTACGGGTCTCCTGAGCAGGTGCAAAAATGCAAAACTGGCATTTGCTTCAGCGTTAAAAAGCATCCTGACATGAGAAGAGAAATCAGTTCAGCTGAAGTTCAACTGCAGGCCCTTGCGTGGTGATTCTGAATGAATATTTGATTTAATCGATCCCTTTATTCTGTCAATATTACCACAGAGAAGTAGTTCATGGTGCAGTATTTTTGTGTGACAGATTGTGACACAAAGGGTCACTCAAAACAAAAACATCAGGTTTAACAAAGGCTTTTCCAGGGTTTTCTTAAAAAGATTCCACCGTCTTTCAATAAGTCCAGAACAGCTTGTTTTGAAAGCAGGGCGAAGACTTAACCTCAGCTCCTTTACACGCTGTCTGTCCCATCCAAGCCATACGTTGGCTCTGCCTTACACCTTCCCTACGCTGGAGGACATGCTATAGCTTTCTTGTGACCAAGCTGCTCTGAGGCCTCCAGTGGGGGAAGGATGAGCGTTCAGTTTACACAGGAGGTGCCTGAATAGCGAGGTTCCGCTGGCTTGCTGGCAGCCAGGCGTTTGAAAGTGGCCCTTCCACCTTTTAGAACACATTTCTGATTATCAGCTTGTGTGACTCTGCAGTTAGAGGACGAGTTATGCTTACTAATATTCCCTTACCTAACGTGACACAGACGTCAGCGTTACTCGTTCTGCAGGCCCTACCTGAACATCAGTGACACCGCAGTACTTCAGAGCTAGTACCAACGTGTATTTCCTCTTGTAAAGGTCTCCCTTATCTGCTCTCTCACGAGCAGAAAGATGGCAGGAACTCAGAGCTGACGGTTAGAAAAAGAAATGTACTCATCGTCTTCGAGGTGTTTTAGAACAGTTTAAATTTGTAACACAGACCCTGCGACAGTTCTTTGTCCTGGGTCTTGGTTTTGCACTTAATAATACAATTGGGCTCTTGCAATAGATTTGTTGTCTTTTTGTGGTGATTGTTGGTTGAAGGTCATGATCCGTCAGAGCTATTTGATGCTCTCCCTGTGCTGTGGCCTGTCTCGCTCCCCCAGCAGTCACACGGGCTGTATTTCAGAGCAAAAAGATTAAATTACTTGGAGGGGGCAGAGAGCCACTACCTCTTCGAGGCTCCATTGTTCACACTGTATAAAAGGAGTTCTCGCTGCTAGTACAGGTCTGTTTTGCACCAGGCAGAAGGCAGCTCTTGTGCATCTCCTGTTCTCCTCCCCCGTGGACTGCAGCCCCCTCGTCCCCCCACACGCTGCCTTTCACAAACCCCTTTTGTATCACAGAGTGGAAAACTTAACGGGCGCAGAAGTGGGAATTTCAGTGACCTTTAGCTAAAGTAATACTAAAAACATTTAAAGAGAAGTGAGAGTAAATGGGAACCATGTGGGGGGAAAGAATTAAAAGGAAGAAGGGTTCCTCCCTGCGCTGTAGCTGAAGGGGGTGTTCTCAATACCCAAGCACGATGAAACATGCAGGTTGGTAATTTTCCAAGGCGTCCAAGGAAAGTTGGCTCTTCCCCTTTTCATGTAAGGCACCAAGAAAACAGCCTGGGGAATGCTGGCCTGTTTGCTAATTCTTGCTTTTATTATGTGTCAATGTCCATTTTAATGTCAAACAAATAAGGCAGAACAAAAGCTGCTTTTTAAGGTACCGATGGGCTTTAGCTGTAATTTGAGGCATGCTGTGATAGGCAGAGGGGCTTGGCCTGTTGCCAGAGCTGCTTTGCCATTTAAACCCCATTATTTTGCAGAGCCTGGTCCTGCGGGTGATGGTAACCTTATCACAGCACCGAATGAGATGGTGACTGTTTTCTTGAACTTTTGTTCATCGTAACTTTTCATTCTGCTAAAATTCCAGGCCATACTAAAACAGCTGAAGTAGACAAAAATACAGGCTCAACTGATGGCACGTCTGCATCCAGCCCATTACCTTGACACATGTCCCGCATTGTCTCACTTAAATTAAATACAGGTCTTTCCATCGTGTGTTCCTCGTCCCCTGAGCCGTAGCTTGCAAGGCGTCTCTCCCAGCATTCCCATAACGGTCAGGATAGTTTCATATTCAACGTCGCTCCTGAAATGCAGAGCGGAGACAGTTCCATTACAGCTAGGTGCTGTTCTGGGTTTAAGGGTGAGATGAGTTGCTTTGTGGAGGAAAAAGGGGAGAATGGTGCCCTAAGACAGACATGAACTGCTCCCAGTCACAAGCCCTGGTCTCGCCTGTCTCCCACGGCCGCATTCGGGATGTTTGAAAAGAATGGTCTGTCTGTACCTGAAGACGTTGGGTTATTAACTTCGTGTTTGACAGATGAACTTTGGTATCTTCCTACTTGTGAAATTCTATTTTAGTTCAGTAAAATGAAGCTCTGCTGGGGGCTGGTGGTTGGGAGCAAATGCCTGCACGGCCTTGGTCTGACAGCTCAGCCCCATGACAGACAGAGGTTGAAACGGAACTTTCTCTCAGCTCCCCTAAGACAAGGGGCAGTCGATGGAGTCCAGGTTGTAAATGAACATCAGAAACCTTACAGCAAGGGTGGGTTTGTGCTCAGTGGAAGTCTTACAGCATAATTTGCCCGGGGCTAACGCTACCCAACACTCCTGAGACTGTTCCTCTGAAGGACTCCTCTGCCTCCAGGAGACAGCTGTTGTAAAGGCCTGAGGCAAGAGCCTGTTCTGCCAGACAACTTCTATTTTTCCCTTATCATTCAAAAATTCCCCTACAGGAAGACCACTGATTTAGGGAGGTGAATTATTAAAATCACCTCACACCTTGCCTATAGTTATTTACTAATGCCATGCTGGTCCTGAGCTCTGCTGTGTCGGGAATTCTTTGTCTGGAGCTGAACAGAGGAGCTGGCTGCTATACAGCAGCACCTTTGCTTTCTGGTACTTTCAGCATATCTGTTGTCAGACAAAAAGAAGCCCTTCAGGCATATTCAGGAGCTCTAGAATAACTGAGGCAGTCTGCACTGCATTACAGCCCTGGGATTTGCCCTCTGTTGAAGGCATCACCCTAAAGAAAGGGGGTTTAGCCAGTGGCACGTGGTCAGTGTGTCATGTCACCTGTTGGAACAGTGTGATTTCAAGTGGATAAAGGCTGAAATTCTGGGTGCCAAATCCAAAAGAAACGGGAGCAGTGAAGGGAACA